CATATCCACAGCAGTGCTTATTTCGACCACGTTTCATCTCGTCATCTCTTTCGCAGCCATTTTCTCCATATCAATCGTTATCCTTCTGACATTTGCGATCGTTTTATGGTGTGGTAAGTTTTTAAAAAACAATGTATAAGATTCATTTTGTGGTATGATTTTAATCAGCAATTATGCATTTTGAAGTAGTCCCTGTGTATCTGAGCTGCTTTCTTTAATATGATTTCATATGAGAGAAGAAGCCGGAGCAGTGATTATAGCGAATAATTTCAGGCTGGTCGATAAATGTTGTCGAAGCAACGTTAATTGTGCTAACAATTGGTCTCAGTTTCGATTACTCACTACACGTGGCCGTTTCGTTCAAACTGAGCAAACGTCACGATTTCAAGTGAATTCTTTCATCTGTTTTGATATTCTTTTATTTTATTCTTTTATTTTGATATTCTTTTGACATTCTGCATATTTTTGATATTCTGATACTTTTGATATTCTGCTCTTTCATCGCTCATACGTTTGATCGAGGGCGTTGAATGGTTTTTGCTTGATAAAATTTTCTGGAGCCTTTTCAAATAGATGAGGAACCGCTCACTTGCAGGAGTGTTTCATCAACAGTTGGTGTGCCGGTACTGCTGGCCGCAGTTTCGTCGTTCTTGGCCGGTTTCGCAATGATTTTCGCACAGACCCAACCATTCTTTGAGATCGGCTTCTTTTTAATGATTATGACTTCGTTGAGTGTTGTCATCGCTTTATTGGTGTTACCATCCATACTCACTATTGCATTTCAACCGTTCCTCACAAGAATCACACCACTTTAGTGATCAATATTGAACGTATGAAGACGATAAACTGTTTTCCTCCTTGATTGCTTCGATCGAGCTATCAAACCTTCATCTAACAAAACTTGCTGTCCACATGTTTCTGAATTTACACATTCGAACACTCGTACAGTGCACACTTCATTGATATCATTTTCATTTCGTTACGCATATGAATCATTCGCTATCGGCGGACAATCACGACAACATGTTCTGAATACTTCGGTCAATCACTCGAATTTTTTGTTCATCTGTTCAACTGGAGTGTATTTTTGGGGATTACATCAAGCTTCTCCTCCTAGGAATCATTTGTTAGGACGGAAAATTAGCCTTTACTCTGACCCTTAAGCTATTAATCGGATCGCAATTTCATGGAAACAGATCATTTCCTATGCAACATCGACAGATGTGTGGAAATAAAGATAACGTGATGATAAAGACAACACAATGTGATTTTTGTGATAAGGTTGACGAAAATGGAAAGGCATAAACTTGTAATGAGCTATTGCAAATGCCGATTGAATAAATAACTGGAACATTTTGAATATCATTTAATCTCTGCTGGAATGTAAACGTTGATCAGTGGATTGTATGCAAAACAATGCAAGATATGTAAATCAGTAATGAGTGGATATCATAAATCCATGATAGCCTCTATTCGTAAAGTTTTTGATGTGAAAGGCGGTCGGTCGGTCAATGGCACGAAATGAGCGACCACGTACGAGCTTGTACGTTCGCTTCATTGTTGTTCTCAAAACTAAGTAGCATTTGAGTACGCCAGCTGAAGCACTCAGCCGTGGATGGAGTTGCAGAGGTTTTGATTGCATTTCTAGTAGATCTGATAAACTGAACATTACATTACAAGCACTCTCAAATGCGCGAATTTAGCTTGAGTCGTTTGCTGCATCTTTTCTCAAGAAAAGGTCAAGATGAATTTGCTGCGGGTGTTATT